TTCATATGAATGAAATCATAAATTATTATGATAAAAATTTGGATATTGAAGAATTGATTGCTCGATTACCTACAAAAATATAAATACAATAAATATTATTCTTTCAATCTGTTATGAATTCTGAAAATATTGAAGAAGACGAATATGATCGTAACATAAGTGAATTATTGATTAGTACATTCAGAATCGCTAGATTAGCAATAGTTATTTTAATAGTTTACTTATCTTTCATAACACTTGTAGAATTTAAAAAACATTCTGATCTTTTTGAAGATTTTTTACTTCCCATTAGTAAATCTTATTATAAAATAATAGAAATTTTAGACAGTGGATTACTTAATTTTTTATTAAATATTGGAAATTAATCAAATTTAAAAATGAGTAGAAATAACATAACACCAGTTTCTTTTGCTGATTATTATACTAGAAACACAGCTATCAAAACTACAAATAATATTGATAAAAAAAATAAATCATATTCTAAACCTATCAAAAAACAACAAAAAAAAGATTCTAATGACGATAAAGAAGAAAAAAAGAAAAAAGTTTAAATCCTTGAGAAAAAAAATTGATGAAATAAAAAAAAACAGAATATCTATAAACAAAATTAATATCGATATTAGAAATTCGAGAATGGATGATGAAAGAATTAATCTAAATAAAAGAATTGCTATTCTTGAAAAATATGATATTAAATTATGTAAAGAAAGATATGGTTTGATCAAAAATTTATTTAAATTTGGTGAAACTTTAGTCAGTCTCTCTGCAAAAAAAGTCATCAACGAAGAAATCATCAAAGAAATAGAAAAATCTCCATCCAAATCAAATCTTGATTTTTCTAAAAATAATAGCAAAAAATTAAATATAAAAGAGAAATCAAATTCTAAAACTGGAAAACAAAAACAACTTAATTTCTTTCAAAAACAACTTAGAACCTGTTTCCAAATATGAACAAACGTTCTAACATAAATTTATTATTTGATAATTATTCTTATCAAAAACCAACAAAAAAAACAAAAAATAACTCTGATGATTTTTTTTTTACCTTTTTCGGTAAAAATCTTGATGATTTTACAATATATCAAAATCTAAAAAATGCTAGTAATAAATCAACTCCAATGAGTATTCCAAATTTACCATGTGATATTATTTGTGATCTTGAAGAAACCACTGAAGATGGTAAACCAAAACCACCTGAAAAAATATTATTAGATAATATCGCTTCTATTTTCTTTCCTGATGCTTCATATGTAGAC